CTGTGAGCTGCCTCTGGTAGCTCCTCCCAAGTCTCCCATACTCCACTCGATAAACAGCTGTCCATACTTTACTCAGGCTTTAGGCCCTGTGACTTCAGAGCATACACAGAACAGCCCTGAGGTACTGTTCCTGTTTACAGATGAGGAAGCTAAACTCGAGAGGGTCAAGCATTCTCCCCAAGGTCAAAGGGCAAGGCTGCACCGGACACTGATTCCGTTTTGCTCTTTGAATGCCAGCAGTGGCTGTGTCTGGGTCGTGTTCAGAGTTCTGAAGCACGAGGTCTGCTTGGAGAACCAGTCCCAACTAGAAGCCCAGGAGAGAGCAGGAGACTCCCAGCAGAGTGCTAAGGGAACCTCCTAGAGAGGCAGAAATGCTTGGGTAGGGTTGAGAGCAATAAAAGAGGAGCACGTGGATGGAGCAGGGGGCTGGCACACAGGGAGGCTTAAGAAGAAATGTACACGGGACACAGAGGGTGCTCAGCACATGTGCTGACTCATGGGTGTTCCGTAGAATGGCAGAGGCGTAGCAGGGGACCAGGGGCGCACCAATCGCAGGAGACACTGGGCTTGAATTTGCCCTTTATCCTCTAATAAGGAGCCATTGACGGTATGGGAGCTGGGGAAGGACTTGGCAAAGACCTAGTTTAGAAGCTTGAGCTGATAACGAAAATCCCAGCATTCGGTGCAGATGGTAATTGGAGGCATACGGGTGTGAGGCCCTGAGGGGTAGGGCAGAGACCCTCAGGTTGAGCTGATAACGAAAATCCCAGCATTCGGTGCAGATGGTAATTGGAGGAATACGCTAGCAGGCCCAGCCAAGGGCTCTGATAAAGCCTAGGACTCCAGCTGGCCTGGGAAGTCCCATCCTAACCCAGGATGCAGCGCTCTCTAGAAGGGGTCCACCCCTCTGCCCTCTGCCAACGCCTTCTCGTCTGAGCACGAGAGCTCCCCCCCCACCCCAGCAGACTCCTCCAGACCCCAGTTTAACAGGCCTTGCCTGCCTTGGAGGGGATCCAGAGCTGCATCTATAGATGACATCACAGCCCACCACCAAGCAGTTTCTCATCTGGATACCTGCTCCTAGTGCCTGCTGCCGCGCACGCAGAGGCAGGCGCCAGAGGGAGGAGCCGGGAGCCTGCCTGTACACGGGCCGAGAGAATCCCACAGCTAATGCAGCTGTCTCCAGGAAGAGTGGCTGCCTGCCTGTGCTGTGTGACCCTGGAGAATGGTCCCTTTGCTGTGCCTTCCTGAGTCCCAGAATGCTAGCCGTTAGAGGCTCCAGCCAATTTTCCAGGCAAGCTTCAGATGAGGGCTGCGGGTGTGTAGATTTTTCTCTGCTTTGAAATCTTGCCTCGGATTTTTCTTGGCTCGGATCAAAATGAGCTGCTATCTGTCCCCTCTCTGGCACCTCATCTTTGTCCTCACGTCTTTGTCGTCTGGCCACAAGCCCGGAGTTGCTTGCTTCTTATTGCCTCAGCTTCACGTCTTCTTTCCCCTATACCCCCCCCCGCCCCCCATTTCAGAGGTAAGGCCCTCCCTGGTTTTCCCAGATGGGCATAACAGCCACACCCCACACCGTCTGTCTGAAAGTACTTTCATTTCACACCCAGTGCCTACCCCTAATAGACGTATATGCTAGTCATCAGAGGTGACAGCATGAGTCTCTAAGAATCCCCAACTCCAGTGTTATCAGGTGTGCCAGATGTCTGGGGATGCAGTGGGGCAGGGCCCTCCCTTCCTAGAGACTAAGCATCAATGGCACCCGTGGCCATGGGTGATGCAGGAGTTAAGATCACGTGCTTGGTGGCATGGGACTTGGGTTTAGTCCCAGCTAAGTGACCTTAGGGAATCTGCTTCCCCTTGACCTTCAGTTTACATGTGTGTAACACGGCCTGTGTGGAGCCCACTGTGGAAGGTTGCTATGAGGACCAAGCATGATGCTTTGGTTGGATGCTGAGTATGGGACTGAGCCTGAGGGGCCCTGACAGGGACTTGCATGCAGTGTGGCATGCTCAGGGCTTTAGAACTCCTACCACTACCCCCCCCATGCTCAGGGCTTAACAACTCCTACCACTACCCCCCCATGCTCAGGGCTTAACAACTCCTACCACTGCCCCCCCCCCCCCCCGCCCCGCGCCCCCCACCCCCCCCCCCCTGCCCTGGCCTTCCAGGCCCCCACCCTGGCCCCCCCATGCTCAGGGCACAAGCCCTCCTACCACTGCCCCCCCCCCCCCCCGCCCCGCGCCCCCCACCCCCCCCCCCCTGCCCTGGCCTTCCAGGCCCCCACCCTGGCCCCCCCATGCTCAGGGCACAAGCCCTCCTACCACTGCCCCCCCCCATGCTCAGGGCTTAAGAACTCCTACCACTGCCCCCCCCCCTTTTTTGGTCTTGTATTCTCCTCTCCCATTTTTCACACCCAAGGTCCCCTCAGTGGCAGTTCTTTTTTGGTTTGTGATACACAGGCACTGATGTCCCCCAGGGCACAGTGGGAAGTTGTCTGTCACCCAGTACCCAGTCTGTTGCCAGCTGATGTGAAAGCTGGCGACATCTGCATACAGAGGCCGGGCTGCCCAGCTGTTGGTTGTGTTTCTGCCTGAAATACAATTCTGGTTTCTCAGGGGCTCCCTGGGGCCTTGTGTGTGTGCACTCATGGGACACACCTCAGCATCTGAGTCCCCAAAGGGCTCCTCTGGGGCTGCAAAGCCCACACCATGAGGGAGAAAGTCTTTCTCTTCCCAGGAGAAGAAACTTTGTTGACTCTCCCAGGGTTCTCTGCCCACAGACCCTGACAGTGCCTTCTTCACAAAGGGCCCAGAGGTCTAAGCAGTGCCTCTCACTTTTGGCTGCATATCTGAACCGTGGGACAGGATGGGGTATGCAAAATGACTCATGCCGAGGCCCCACCCACTAAAGCCGGCCCTCCAAAGCCTAGGCATCAGAGTTAAGGGGTTTAAAAGCTCCTGGGATGGGTCTACATTCCTAAGTGAAGGATCATTGTGTCGGAAGGACAGTGTACGGAAATAAATCAGTGTTCTGTAATTAGAAGAGAGACGGACTCGAACCTCCGAAAAGACGGTGAGTGGTTCGGCTGTCTCGGAGTGAGCTGTGGGAACTGCATGGGCCGCTTGCCCTCTCAGAGCCTCTCATTAATCTGGGAGTTAAAACGGGGTGTCTCGAGGTGACCCGAAGCCATACCTGCCTGGCAAGCATGTGAGTCAAACTCAGTCATGGAGAGGGAATGTGTCTGAGGGTGAGGCACCACAGGAGACTGCAAACACCACACTATGTCTGTGGCCACACCAGTGGTGTGAAACATTGGGAGAGTTTTGCATTTGTTTTGGTTTTGAAACAGGGGTCTTGACTGGCAACCGATGCTGACTTTGAACTCCTGATTCTTCTGCCTCAGCCACTTAGTGTGGGAATTACAGGCTGACTGACAAACGTGCGGTGTAAGAACTGTACTAGAATTCCCTTGGGGGTGGAGCGGTCTGGGAGGGCTTCCTGAAAGAGGCGATTAGTCATTTTCTGGCTTGTGGGTTAGTTAATGCTAGCAGGGTATCCTGTCTTTGAGAGTGTAACAGCTGAAGAGCCGAATCTGACGGCGCAGGCAGCCACATACCATCTAAGCTGAGACGGGCAACCACCTGTCCACTGTCCAGCCTGGTGTTGCTTTTATGAATGTCACATTGGTCCAGCAGCCAAACAGGACAAAGACCTGGCTTGCTCCTGGAAGCGGGGCTCACCTGCCCTCTCTCTCTGATACACCCCAACCTTTGACTCTGAGGCTCTTGAAACTGCCTGCCTAGTGCTTCAAGGCATGGGGGACCAGCCACCCTCTGCGGGTTGAGATGGCGGCGAGGGCTAAGAAGGCTCCTCTGGAAAGCCTAAGGCTGCTGTCTGCCTGGCCCTCTAAGAGCCAGGAGGACAGGAATGGAGCCGAACTTGAGGAAAAGTTGGCGGGGGTGGGGGAGATGGGGGGTGGGCCCCGCTCCCCCCCACTGGCTCTGGGGCTTTCTTTTTTGG